ATAAACCCTTGAACACAACACCCCCACCCCCCAAGTCAGAGACGGCACCCAGCCAGCACGCCTTGAAACGAAGAGGGTGGGGACGCAATATAACGTTCCGTTTCCGAATGCAAACGCCCTTTCACAGCCCAAGGACCTTGGTGGGTGCCCCACATTCCTGGACGAGGGGGGATTTTCCCCGTGAGCAGCTGCTCCACCCGTCTCCCTTCCCCAGAAAGGCTGGGAAGGAGGGCGAGGGGGGGGAGGGCCTTGTCTGGCTCCTCCATCTTCCTCCCCCCAATCAGAGCTCGGGGCGGAGGATGCAGCCAGGCAGCCGGGGCCGCTCCCTGGAAGAGGAGCAGCAGCCCAGCTTCCATCCCCTCGGCCCCCCCCGCGCCCCCCTCCCGCCAACTGGAACGGGAGCAGCTTGAGGAGGCCAAAGCGGGTGGGAGCCGGGAGAGCCCAGGCTGCAGGCAGGCTGCTCCTCCCCACATCCTCCCCCCCCCTCCCTGCGCACCGAAGCAGCAGCAGCAGCACCAGCACCAGCAGCGGCAGCGGCGGCAGAGACAAAGCGGGGCTGCCGAAATACAACACTGTTCTGGGAATCCCTCCGGACCTTCCGGGGCCAGGAGGAGGGTGGAGGAGGATTGCCAGGAACCCAGATGGCAGCGGTCCGGAGAGGTTCGGCCCCACCGGCACCGAGGAGGAAGGGCTGAGACCCAGGGAGGACCCTCCACGGCTGACCCTGGAGGGCGGGAGGATGGAAGGCCAGCCGCCGGGTCTGCAGAGGGAAGGAGGGCCAGCAGCCTCCAGCAGAGAGGAGACGGGCGACCTGCAGCAGCCGGGGGCTTTCCAGAGCTGAAAGGCCGAGGGACCCCCCAGAAGGGGCCTGGCCTGGAGACCCAGAATTGAAGGCTGCCGGGAGAACTCCACGCCGCCCGCCACCCCCCCAAGAGAACTCCGGTTGGAGACCCCATGGAATCTGCCGGGAGTCCTGAGGGCTGAAAGGCCCGGAATGGACCGGGGGCACCCGGGCACCCCACCTGGGAACCCCAAGGCCTGGGAAGGGCCTGGGGCTGGGAGCCGAGACGCCTGAGGCAGCCAGAAGCGAACGGGGCGAGGAGCGGAGGAGCGGGTGAGCCAGGGTGCCCATCAGCGCGGAGGCTCGAAGAGCTTGGCATGGCTGCCGCCTCTCCGCCCGCCTGAAGCTGCAGCGGCGTTTCTCTTTTCTCTGCCTGGGGGAGGGGACCGAGGATGCTCCTCTGCCTGCAGGCTGGATGCTGCCCTCGGCCACCCCGAGCCTCCTCCGCCCAGGCAGCTGGGCGCCTCCCCAGGGCACCCCAAGAGCCTGCGGGAGCCCTGGGGCCACAGCTTGCTCAGGAGGGGCTGAGGAGGTGGCGCGGGGACAGGTGACTCGGTGTGGGGAGCGGCTGGACTGCCACGGCTCATCTCTGGCGAGCCCAGAGGCCCAGGAGAAGGTAAAGCTGCACGTGGAGCCTGGGGGCCTTCGCGGTGGGTGGGGGGGCCCTGCAGAACGACCGGTGCTGCTGCGACGTATTTGGAGGGCCAACAGCCGAGCGGACGGGGGGCCTCGGAAGGCAGAGAGGCTGGCTTTTCCTTTCTCAAGCCTTCCACTCCCGGGACCTTCTCCTTCTCTCCCCCACCCCGCTCCTCCCCAAAACAGCCAGGGCAAAGTTGTGCCAGGACAGGCACAGCAGGGCCTCCTCCCCGACCTGTGCCCTCCCCCCTTGCTCCTCCGCCCTTCTCTCTATCCTGAATCCAGACCTCCAAGGCTGGGCCCATGCGAGATCATCTTTCCTGCCTCCCAGGCATTCTCCCTTCCTCCACTCCCTCCCCCCCCCCCCCCAGAGCCGTTGTATCCCTGGCAGAGCGACCGGGGCTCGTCCTGGTCTTGAGAGGGGAGAGGGGAGGGAAGGGGTGATTCGAGGTGCCCCAGAGAACCGGGGGGCCTTTTGCCATCCGTGGTCCCCTTCCACAGCCCAGCATCTCCCAGCTAGAGGAGCCCTGGCGAAGGGCTGCTGCCTGCTTTGAGGGAAAACCTTCCATCCCAGGCCCCCCCACCCCACCACAAGCCAAGTACAAGAGGAGGACCAGAAACTGTCCCTGGGCTGGTGGGGCCCCTCCCTGCCCCGAGGCCCCTGCTGCCAAAACTGCCTCCATGAACCCGCCTGCTCTCCACTTAGAGCCATACCTGGTTCAAAATTGAAGGCCCCCCCAGTCTGAATCGGAAAAGTGCTGCACAACTAAGATCACCCCACATACGCACACAACACCCCCCCGTCCCAGTGCATGCCCCCCCCCTTCTATACGCACCGACAGGGCACCTACCAAATATACAGCCTAGCCCAGCTGGACACCTGCAGCCCAAGCTGAGCACACTCACCACGGGGGCCCCGGAGTACTTGCAATCGGGCTCTGTCCCAGCCCCGATGCAGGCCAGAGTCTCTCCTCTCAAAGTCTGTGGCTTCTTTGTTTTTAAACACAAAGCTACACCATCCCAGTCTTCAAAAGCTTGAGTTAAGGGCCTTGAAAAGATGTCTTTTAAAAATAAAAGAGTGGCTATTTATTAAAAGAAATTACTGTTGCATTTGGCCAAGCAACAAATGAAAAAAAAAAAAAGTAGTAGTAGTTTCCCTAGGAGAATCCTCGGAGTTTCGGAGCAAGGTGGGTGACACGTAAATCCAATGAACAATAAAGGCTTCTAGTCCAAATTGCAGGCAGAGAGGAGCCGGGGGGCCCAGGTGCACCTGCCCCCACCCCAGTTACCTGGCCCACCCCCTGAGCAGCCTTGGAATCCTGGGAGCAGCTTCTTTCCCTTCCAGGCAGCAGGATCGGAGACGCAGCCGGCCCAGCCTCTCCAACGCTTTGAGCCCATTTCGCAGGAACCTCCTCCTGAGAGCCACCGTGGCTCACAGCTGCCAGCCAGCCAGCTAGGCTGCCTCAGGGAGGAGAAGCCACACCGACACAGAAGACGGCCTGCCCACGACCCGAAGGGAGCTCACAAGACAGGAGGCCGGTTTCCCTCGACTTGACACGGCAAGAGTGTGGGCCGCATTGCCTGACCTGAGGCCTGCGGGGCGCCATCTCGGCCACTGGTTCCCTTCCCAGGACATCTCCACAAGGGGCTCTGGGAAGCAGCAGGGACCAGCCCTCTCTGGCTCCGGCCTGTGCGCCTCTTGGCCGCCCCGTCGTTCTTTATACCATCTCCTGTTCTAAGGGTGAACCTCCAGGGCCGCAGAAGTAACGGAGCCTCCCCAGAGGACAACCCAGCATCTCACCAAGGCTGGAACAGAACAGCAGGAGTTCAGTGGTCTGGATCACACAAGACTCTTGTGGTGGGCAACACACAGGCCACATGTGCAGCACAGCAGGCAGTCTGCAGCACTCAGACCATTGGACGCTGCTGCCCAAATTCAGAATTGTGGATACAACTAACTAGGCTCCATTACGGCTTTACGAGTCGTGTGCACCAGCCTCTAATTTTACACACATTATGCTGGACTAAGAGACTAAGCTCCAGCCCCTTGGCGTGGATTTTTGGAACCCGACATGGTCTGCCATCTTCTTTTGGGCCAATGCTAAATTTTGAGCAGTGTGCCATGGCTTACTCGACAAATTGAGTGCAGCCTCAATAAAAGCTAATGCAGATTTAATTTAACGTTTACTAGATTATGTTGACTCAACAAACAAGGTATTAGACAAGTATCAACATTCATTTAATTTACTTTAAATTTGGTTTAATTAACCAAACGCAATCATGGGGTCATTCTATATATTTTGCCCTTCAGCCACGTTAAGAATCTCTGCGGCGGCAGATTTTAGGAGGCCTCCTGGGGGTGAGAGAGCAACTTGGGAGACGCTGATCCCGAGGATCCCCGATTCTCCTCCTCCCCCTTGAAGCCCAGGGACTCTGGTAGCTGCTAAGCGAATTCTCCCAATGGAAGCAGGGAACTCAAGCCGGCCAGGCTAGCAAAATCTGATCCTGGCGGCCCATTTGCTCAAGGCTAACATTTCACCCAGAAACAGAAATCCGGGGAGAAAAGAGGATGAAAACCTTGGAACGATGCAGTAAAAAAAAGCCTCTAGAAGCACCCGGTTTTTCTTCACCAAACGCCGTTTGGCCTTCCCCCTTTCTCATCTCACTCACGATAACTGGTTCAGATTGCCCACCTGGCTCGCAATTGTACCTATTGGGCTCAGAGGTGTCGGTCGATCAAAGGAGCACTCCAGTTCCTAATCTGGAGGATTTCTAAGTAAAAGTGGCAAAGCTCTGTGCTGAAATAAGATGGGAAAACGTATGTCTGATCAATCATTTATAACTGTATATAGTTTATGAAGACTTCAGTTAACAGAAGCCAACATCGGGTTGCCACAGATGACACAAAGGTGGACAACAGAAGATTCAGAAAGATCTGGGTAGCCTCAAAGACTGGGCTGAAATAAAGAGGGTGGAATTTAAGAGCAGAAATCCTGCATGGGGTAGGAAAAAGGAAGGCACACGATGCGGGGAAACGTGGCTTGGCAGGAGCAGGAGGGGAAAGGGATCGGAGCCAGACCCCGGGGAGAGCCCCACGGAGGGTCCAAATCTGAACGCCAGAAAGGGACGGCGACGAGCTGGGATTCAGGGATGGGCACCAGGCCGGAGGAGATTCGGTTAAAAGATCCGGGTAGGTTTGGCCCACAGAACGGACGAGTTCTGCGAGGCGAGAGCGGCCTTTGCGGGCCACCCAGAAGGGGAAATGGACTTGCTGGGTTTTGCACGGCCAGATTAACTGCTAGATTAAAACAACAAAGAAGGCGATGGATCCAGGGAGCAGGCAACTTTCAGAGGTGGTCCAGCGGTAAGAGGGGACGACTAGCGGTCTGGGCAGGAAGGGACCTCAGCAAATAAGTGCCACGTCCCGAGAAAGAGGGGAAAGGGCCGAAGGGCCCGAAAGGGACAAAAACTCACCACGGGTCCCTAGGGGCCCACTGACCTTTTTCTCTCTCTTCCAGGCCTGCCGAGGCAACTACCATGGAAAGGCTGCTCCTGGTCCAGCTGCTGATGGTGGGGAGCACCTTAGCCCAGGTGGAGTCCTGCCCCTTCCACTGCGTCTGCCAAAACCTCTCCGACTCGCTTAGCACCCTCTGTGCCAACAAGGGGCTCCTCTTCATTCCGGCCAACATTGACCGGCGGACGGTGGAACTGCGCCTGGCCGACAATTTCATCCGGGCGGTGGAAGCCCCGGACTTTCTGAACATGACGGGCCTGGTGGACCTCACCCTCTCGCGGAACACCATCGACACCCTCCGGCCCTTTGCGTTCGGGGACCTGGAGAGCCTCCGCTCGCTCCACCTGGACAGCAACCGGCTGACGGAGATCAGGGGGGAGGCCCTGCGGGGAATGCTGAACCTCCAGCACCTCATCCTGAGCAACAACCAGCTGGTCAATATCTCTGGGGCCGCTTTTGATGACTTCCTCGCCACGCTGGAAGACCTGGATTTGTCGTACAACAACCTGCGCAGCGTCCCCTGGGAGGGCATCCAAGGCATGTTCTGCCTGCACACCCTCAACCTGGATCATAACCTGATCGACTTCATTATGGAGGGGACCTTTGACGAGCTCTATAAGCTCTCGCGGCTGGACATGACCTCCAACCGCCTATCCACCCTGCCCCCCGACCCCCTCTTTGCCCGCTCCCAGATTGGGGCCATCAGCCCAACCCCCTACACGGCTACCATCGTGCTCAGCTTCGGAGGAAACCCTCTGCACTGCAACTGTGAGTTGCTGTGGCTGCGGCGCTTGGCGCGAGAGGATGACATGGAGACCTGCGCTTCCCCGCAACACGTGGCCGGCCGCTACTTCTGGTCCGTGCCAGAGGAGGACTTCACCTGCGAGCCCCCCCTCATCACCCGGCACACCCACAAGCTCTGGGTCCTGGAAGGCCAAAGGGCCACGCTGAGGTGCAAAGCCCTCGGAGACCCTGAGCCGGTCATCCACTGGGTCTCCCCCGATGACAAGATCATCGCCAACTCCTCCAGGGCCGTGTCGTTCCGCAACGGCACCCTTGACCTTTTGGTGACCACCATCCGTGATGACGGGGCCTACACCTGCATCGCCATCAATGCCGCTGGGGAGTCGACAGCCACCGTGGACCTCAAAATCATCCCCCTGCCTCATCGGGGCAACGGCAGCATCACGGTGCTGCAGCAGCAGGATCCGGGCTCCTCCGACATCAGCACCTCGGCCAAGAGCTCTGCCAATGCCACCCAGGAGGCTTCCGAGGAGAGAGTGGAGGTGCTGGCGGTGACTGCCACATCAGCCCTGGTGCGCTGGCTGGCCAATAAGTCCACCTACATGGCCTGGATGTACCAGATCCAGTACAACTGCACTGCGGACGATGCCCTGGTTTACAGGTAAGGGGACTGCGGTGGGGGGGGGGGGGGGGGACGAGCAAAGGGTTTCGGGTTCTCCTTCCTGGAGAAATCCTGGCAATGAAGGTCCCTGGCGGCTTCCGTACCATTCCGATTTCTCGGGTTCCCAGTGGTCCTCTCCCGGATTACGTTCACTCAGCCGGAGGGCTCCTCCTGGTGAACCTGGCTGGACTGCACAACAGGCAGAGGGCGGCCGTCCTCCGTTCGCCCCTTTCCTCTCTTCCCACAAGACCCGAACCGCGTACCAGGGAGACAGCTGGCCGTGCAGCTGACGAGATGTGGGGTTGGGGACGCAGGAGGTTGTCAAGCAGAGTACAGCATACCCGAAAGCTCCAGCGTTGCTCCCCTGAAACTGAGCCCCCCGAGGAAAGTGACATCGGCCCTCGAAGGCCTCGGCTCCGCTTGGTGAAGAGCCGGGCCCGGTTCCTTCAGCGAGGTGGGGGAGGCTTCCAAGGCTGAAGCACAGGGCGAGTCCGAGGTTTCTGGTGGCTTCTGCCCCGCTTTCTGCCCAACAGCAGGTGGGGGGGGGGGAATTAAACCACGGAGATGGGTAGCGGAATCCACGCTCTACGAACGGAATCCTTCACTAGGAACAGCAAATCCAGGCCAGGGAAAGGATTCTGCACAAACAAACAAGCCTCTTTCCTAATGGCTCCATTTCAGAGGCATTTCCTGCCCCTGGGCAGCCCAAACAAGAAATCCCCTCTCCTTCCCAGAGGCAGGCAGCCTCTCTGCCCACCTGAGGCAGAGGTTCCCCCTCCCCGGTGCCACATCCACAGTGCCCCTCACCGAGCGCCTCTCAGGGGTTCAGCCCCGGATCCCATTCAAGAACCAGGTGGAACTTCTTCGCTGGCTTTCCAGGAAGGCCGGAGAGACCCGGGAGAGCAGCTCCTTTCTCTACGCTGACCTCTGCTTTCCTTTGGCACCAAGAACTGGGCCACCAGATTGACCGGGATAGAGAATAATAGGCCATTAATGGGCAGATAAGCTGCCTACATAAGGGGAGGGCGGGGGGGCGGCGGCCTGTGGCCAGGAATGAGGGAAGCCTCCCCCCAACAGGGGAGGGGAGGGGTGGAGGCCACGGAGGCTTACTCTTCCCCTCTTTCTCGCCTGCAGGATCATCCCCGCCAGCAGCCAGGATTTCCTTCTCAAGCACCTGGTGCCCAGCATGGATTACGACCTGTGCGTCTTAGCCATCTTCGATGACCTGGCCACCTCTCTGGCAGCCACCCACCTGCTGGGCTGTGCCCAGTTCACCACGCAGGAAGCCTACCCAGACTGCCATTCGCTGCACGTCCACTTCCTGGGGGGCGCCCTGACGGTGACCGTGGGGGGCATCATCGTGGCTTCCTTGCTGGTCTTCACAGGCGTCATGATGGTCAAGTACAAAGTCTGTGGCAGCGTCCACGGGAGCCTGCCCAGGGTCAGCAACGTGCACTCGCAGACCAACGGCGGGCACCCCAACGGCCTGCTGCCCCAGCGGACACCCGCCGCGGAGTGCCGGCAGGGGCAGGCCAAGGCGGGTACAGCCAAGGGCACAGAGCGTTGGATGGGAGGCGCTGCCCGGGGAGCCCCGGCCTCAGCCAAAGCCAAGCGCAGCAGCTCCCTGGACATGGGGGACGCCTCCTCCAGCGCCTGCTATGGCTACGCCAAGCGCCTGAGCTTCATGTGGGCCAAGCGCAGCCAGTCGGTCCATGGGAGGCTGGCACAGAGCACGACCCTCGACGAGGGCGCCGGCACGCAGCCCGGGCCCTTCCTCAACGTGGATAAATTGGAGGAGAGTGTGGTGTAGCCCTCATGGGGGGAGGACCGGCGTCCAGCGACCCGCAAGGGGGAGGCCCACGGAGGAGGACGAGGCAGCAGATTCGGCTGGCCCCGCTTCACCTGGTTGAGCCCGGCCTCCCCCACGGAGGCCAGCCCTGCTGACCAGGCCAGGCCTTGCCCAGAGCAGAGTCCCCTCCCCCGGCCAGCCAGCCAGCCAGCCAGGCTCAAGCTGGGGGGAGGGGGGGAAGAGCAGCGTTTTCCTCTGCATCTTGCGGCTGACTAATTGAGGTGCAAATAGTGACCTGGATTCAAGAATCAATTATTTTGAAGAGGAAAGAAGGCAGCTTTGAAAGGGAAACGAAAACAGTCGCCAAACGACAGGCTGTTCAATAAGTCTTAAGTCTCCAGGATTCAAAGGCAAGAGAGTTAATGCAGAAAGGATGCCTTCGGGCAAGATTGGGCGTAATCTGTGTTAAAACAGAGGTGTGAAGGCTGGGGGTTGGGGTTGGGGGAATCTTAAATTCATGTTAAAGGCAAAATCTGTACGTGGCATTTAACGACCTCTATAAATGTCCATATGTGTGTCTCTTGGGGCATACGTGTTACTCGTACTGTGCAATGGGGGAAGGGGCTTCTCCCCACTAAACTCGCTCTGTAGAAAAGGGAGGGAGGGAGGGAGGGAGACAGCTGAGGGCAAACCCCCCCCCCAAACCCCCAACTCTGGTTCACAAAGGAGGCAAAACATGCAAAGTCTACCTTGGCAAATCCCGATACCAAAGGTAATGTCAAATCGGGCGATCCAGGCGGCTCAAACGGGCGTAAAGATCGACTTCTCGCTCAAGCTCTCGACAAGAATCTGGCCAACTAACTGACAAAGCAAACTGGCGGCAGGTCAGGGTCAGCGGAAGTCAAGATGGGCCAGGCTTGGATCTCTTTGTGAGCACAAAGGGACTCGAGACAGATGACTCGCTTGGCCCCTCCCTCCCTCCCTTGGCCTCAGCCTGGTCCTCCCCTACCAGGGATGGGCATTTTTTTCCTGAAAGGTAAAATCCTCGCTTGGGTGCAGATTTTTACTGCCCGGTGTGATTCTCACTCTCTCAGTGACCTGGGGCCCCTCAAAGTTTGCCTAGAGAAGTGGAAGAGGTCAACCTGGGTCAGCTCTCTAGCTGGATATCTGGCTAGCTCTGTTGTCCCTTTCAAAGGCCCGGCCTTCTCCAAGAGCCCAGGAGCTGCAGGCATCGCCCGCTGACCCTACCAAGAGAGTCTGGGCTAAGGGGAGAGCGATGATCGGCGGCAGCCCCAGAACAAGGCGGGCACAAAGCTCCTGTCCTCTGGGGAGGACCGCATGGACAGGCCGGAGGGACTGACCATTCGGAAGGGATGAACAGTCTACCTCCCTCTCGGTCCCGTCCAAATGACAAGCGAGCCAGAGGGGACGCTTTTAGGGGTGGGACTGAAAAGTGGGCAGATGAAAGAAGCGATGGGAGATGTGGGGGAGGGGGAGTCAGACTGACCCTTCGCCCAAGGAAGACTTGCACCCCCTGTTTAACTTCACCCCAGAGCTCCATCAGCCAAGGCCCAGTCAAGGAAGGGACTCCTTGAGATCCTCCAGAAAGGTGGCTTTCCAGGAGGCCGGGGGGGGGTAGGGAGGGGGGCAGAGATCCTCCCCACCCAGCCTCTGCCTGAGCCGGCCACAAGCTACGGGGAAGAAGCACCCCCGGAAGGCAGGGGCCACAGGAAGAGCCTGTCCAGCCAGAGAAGGCTGGGATCCCTGGCCTTTCAGGGACGGGGCTGCAGCCTGCCTACAGCGGCCCCCTTTTGAAGAGGGAGGGGAGGTGGCAGGTGGGCATGCACCGAGCCCCCCCCCGCCTCCCCGAGAGCCCATCTCTGTGGCTGAGCAGCTCGCTTTGGAGCCACGGCAGGACTGAGCTGGCCACTAGCCGAGCAGCACCGTTCCAAGCCTCTGCGCCCAGCCGGAAGGAGGACCGGGGCAAGAGGTGAGCCAGCCAAGCCAGCTCGGCTCCAGGTGAGACGAAGTTTCCTCAAGGCCTCCAGGGGCAAAGCAGAGGCTGCAGTCCGAGGGCTAGTAGAGAGAGAGGCCGCTTCCGCTCCTTGACCCCACCTTCCTCCCAGGTAGAAGGCTGGACTGGCAGAAGGCCGGGCTCCTCTCAGCCTCAGGGAGCCGGTCCAGACCGGATGCCCACCCAACTCTACCCGAAATTGGCAAGCCTGAAGAGACACCTTCCCTCCCTGGCCACCTCCCCCCCCCCCATTCCTTCTGTGGACTGAGTGGCCGTTCCTCCACTGGGGCTCTACACACACACACACACACACACACACACACACACACACACACACAGAGTCTCTCTGGGTCATTTCCCCAACTGCCCCCTCGCACACTGGCTGGAGACACAGAGGCCCATTCAAGAGGCCAAAGCAGGAGGAGAAGAAAGCTCAGCTTTGCGCGGCTTGGGGAGAAGCTGTGGGGGGGGGGGGGCAGGGCCCCCCAAAGGCCCCCCAAAGGCCACTCAGGGCAGGCCCACCGCCTGCCACGGAAGCCACTGGCTGGAGGAAAAACACCGAAGGGTTTGGGGAGCATCCTGGGAAGGGGGGTGGGGGGCAAAAGGGGTCTTGGGGAATCTGGAAGGCATGACAGGAGGGGCAGCTTTTGAGGCCTCCTGCGGGGTGGGTGGGGGTGGGGGGGTCCCCTTTTTTTCTTCCTGGGCTCCACATGAAGCCTTGGACAGGCGCACTTGGAGTCCTTGGAGCAAACACCGCACTCCGAGACTTTCAGGGACCAAAAGCAACAACCACCACCCACTCTTTTTACTAACACAAAAATTGCTAAGACATTAAAACAAGGCAGGAGAAGACGGGGAGAGAGAGAGAGAGAGAGAGAGAGAGAGAGAGAGAGAATGGCACACCACCATCCACACAGGCACACCAATAACTCGTAAAGGCACACAATAAATGGCCCAGGAGGAACCTTTCCCTTCCCAGAGAAGTGATGAGTCTAATTGCACCCTGAGTAATATAGGACTCTGGTCTGACCCAAATTTACGACCCGATATCCTCACTTTTGCTTCTCAAGAGTAAGAGAACCCCAGACTGGGCAGTTTTGTCAGCTTCTCGAGCATCCATGCGATGGAATATCCAGGCAGCATTTTACAGCCTGCCGTGGCTTTCTGGGGGCAGCTGAACAACATGCAACGAATTTTTGACTTTTAACACCGACGTTTTATGGCCCTTTCCCGTTTTTATTGATTCCTGTCACCACCAGATGCCAGACAAGGGAACGTGGGCAGCCTCTCGTCAGGCAGGCGGCGAGCGTTTTTTCCAAGAAGCTTCCGGTGTGTGTGTGGCAGCTGGTAGAAGCAAAGGCCTTTTCTTCCCCAGGGATATCGCATATTTCATTCTCTAATCCAAATTAAATTGTGACAATTGCTGGCATCGGATGACACGCCGTGCCCAAACCAACCAGCCCCAAGGCAGCCTAATGCCAGGGCCTAGTTCACACCGCACAGCTGGGTTCCTGCAGAAGCCAGGCACAAATTTGGCAAGGGTGGAGGCTCCTGAGGCCACGAAGCTTTTCTTTCTCGTCCTCTAAAGCCCTCGCCTCGGACCAAAACCTGGCATCAAAACGTCTCTTGCAAAGGCCCCTTTCAATACAGATGAAATGCTACTTTTTAAATTCAAAAAAGGCCCGTCCAGAGTGAGAATCAATCACTTCCACAAGCTCCACGGACGGGGGGGGCAGCTGCACGTGAGTGGCGGCTGTGATGCAGGCCCCGCAAGCCGGCCAAAGGACAGGGCCCCAAGGCCTCGGCTCTTGCTCCCGGGGGCCCTTCTGACGTCCCAAAATTATGTGATGCTAGCGGGAAAGTGGCCTAGGGGTCAACTGGGATAAACTATTAATTACTGCCCTCATCTCTATTTCTGCCTAGGTTTTGTCTGCTGTGGTGCCAGTCACAGAATAAACTCCAAAATGCACACACACACACACCAGTGGCCAAAGTTATTGGCTTGAGAGGTCTGGGCCACCTTTTTGATTTATTTGGCACACACATTGTATGTTGTGCCGTTGCCTGAACTCGGTTAATCTCTCTGTGTGTGGAAGGAAGAAATAGAATAGAATTCTTTATTGGCCAAGTGTGATTGGACACACAAGGAATTTGTCTTGGTGCAAATGCTCTCAGGGTACATGAAAGAAAAGAGACATTCATCAAGAGTCAAGAATCATAAGGTATAACAATAATAGTCATAGGGTACAATAAGCAATCAAATCAGATAGATAGATAGGTAGGTAGGTAGGTAGGTAGGTAGGTAGATAGATATAAAAAGAAAGAAAAAGAAAGAAAGAAAGAAAGAAAGAAAGAAAGAAAGAAAGAAAATAAATTATTTATTGGCCGTGTGATTGGACACACAAGGAATTTGTCTTAGTGCAAATACTCTCAGTGTACATAAAAGAAAAGATACTTCCGTCAAGAATCATCAGGTACAACACTTAATGATAGTCATAGGATACAATAAGCAATCAAATCATACTAGGAAACAGTCAGTATGTGTTGTGTATGTGTGTAGTGTGTGTCTATGTATACATATGTATATATGTGTGTGTGTGTGTGTGCGTGTGTATCTGTGTGACTCACAGACAAACACTATACAGAAGCCTGATGATGGCAGATATCGCGGGTACTTACATGTATGGCATTCGGCTTTGCTCGGGTATTTTCCCACGTCATTGTAGTTGTGCTTTTAAAGTTGTAGCAACGTTTCGGCAGAATCTCATCTGCCATCATCAGGCTTCTGTATTGCAGTATAATCTCTCTCTCTCTCTCTCTGGTATTCAGCTTCATACGTATAGATACCCGCGAAAACTTAAGAAAACACACACACACACACACACACACACACAGAGTTGAACACAGCTGCACAATGTGATTTCTCTGCTCTTGCCTTGGTCTCATTTAAAGAGCAGAGAAATCCCACTGTGCAGCTGCTTTGGTTGGGCCACAAGACCGTCTGATGTCCAAATGGGAGCCCTTGGA